CATTCTATATGATGAAATGCTCCATGCATATAGCAACATGCATCAGGATACCCACCTGTTAAACTTATCCCTGCGATCCCCGTCCATTTTCCACAAAGACACACAAGAGGTATCATTGCAAATTTCTCCTGTCTTACTGTTAAGCGTGCCATTAAATAGATTATGCAGCAAACTTCTTAAAATGCTCAGAAAAATAATATATGTGATATGCATTTTATACCTTCTTTTCTCAAACGATGCTAAAATTTTACAAATGTCTAGTCATAACAGTAAAGGGGTTCCTATCTTCTTATCATAGAAGTTCATGCCAAGAACATCCCCATCCAGAGTAACAAGAGGGCCTCCAATCCCAAGCTAGCAAAGTGACATGGACAAGTTGTGATTTACGAGTAAATTCCCTATTTGCCATTGAAAAAAGATATGTAACCAACAACCTAGTAGAGAACTTCAATAATTGGCCCAAACACTACAAGTCCATGAAACGGTTGTTTACATGTTTTTACATTAATTCCTTGGTGCAATGACCCTGTTTTTACATTATTTTCTTTGATCTTATGCAGAGGACCAACAAAAAAGAAGAGGAGAACCACCAAAGCAGCCACGGAGTCAAGCATTGTTGCTTTTGATGATGATGCACCGGCAACTTGTATGAGTTTTCCACCAAGGTTTGCACTCAATTTTACTGTCTTATGTTTCCATTAAAATTTGCAGTGTTTTCTAAGGGTCCGTTTGGATGTTGGCATTGAAATTAGGTCAACGAATTGGGTTTCCAAATCAATACCACGCTAAAATGGTATTGGATTGTGATTCCAATTCCAGGTGTTTGGATGTCTTTAAATTGGTCCAGGAAATCGAAATCTCCACCAAACCTTCCGTCTTCCTTCTGGCAGGCGAGTCCCTTCCTCTCCACCGCCGGCGACCCTACCACCTCCACACGCTCAGATCCACCGGAGCACACGCAGGCGAGCTTCACCCGAGCATGCGTCGGAGCCTGCCCTTTCCACGCGCGGCGAACTCGCGGAGTATCCCCCGCTGGCGAGCTTCGCCCCCTCCATGCCCCGCCAGTGCTCCGCCCTCCCCACGCGCCGGCGAGCTTCGCCCCTCCATGCCTCGGCTCCGCCCCCTACACAGCACGACTGTGAGAGCGCCGTCGGTGCTCTGCCCTCCCCACGCTCCGGCGAGATTCGCCCCTCCATGCCCTAGCTCCGCCCCCTACACGGCACGACCGTGAGCGCCGGTGCTCCGCCCTCCCCACACGCCGGCGAGGTTCGCCCCTCTATGCCCCGGCTCCGTCCCCTACACACCTAGGTACCGATTCCAGCAAATACCGAGCTCATCCAGTCTGTATTGGAGGTGCGTTGTTTTGTGTTGTGACAGTACCAATTGGAATTGGGGGTCAAATTCCAATATTGAATGCCAAAGCATCCAAACGCGTGGTATTGAAGAGATGCAATACCAATTCCCCAATTCCAAGCTCAATACCAATATCCAAACATGGTGTAAGTGACTTCCTTATGTAGTCAAAGCACTGAGGCTTCAACTAGAGAGAGAGAGAGAGAGATAAAGGTGACACATCATGTTCTGGGAAATCGATCAGGTAAGATATCAAATTAGATTCTTTACATGACCTTGTGACTATTTGTGGGGGCTGAAATGAGTTTATGCATACAAGTTTAGGTGTAGGTCTGCGAGTGGCAGCCAGAGGCCTTTTCCATTGAGTATCCTATGGCTGCTTCGATGTACATTTCAGATGAGCAAGCTGTAAGTCCTGCTGCTGTGCTAGCCAAGAAAAGAAAGAAAATTGCTGCAACAACCAGGAAAGAGAAGAAAGATGGGGCGAAGGAGAAGCCTAAAGGGAAAAGAAAGAAGGCGAAGATATTGCAGCCACTTGATAGCCCAGCAATGGCTACCAGAAGCAAGAAGCTGCTGTTTACTAGTCCTTCGAAGTCTACCAGAAGCATTCGAAGGCTTAGTCTGTGATGTGAAAGTGTACTGTGAGCTGTGAGCATGGCTTACTATGTGTTCAGACTCACTTTTTTCTTTTGATAATGTGTTCAGACCAGTATTTGTGTCATGTTTCGGATAATATTTTATTACCATTTGAACTCATATTATGTGTGCTTGAAACTGAACATAGAGGTCTTTGCACCTTAATGGCATGAAAGGAAACAAAGATCTCTACTCCATAATGGCAGGAAAGGAAACATGGAAACATTTGATGTGTCCTATCCTAGGGGCATATTTGCCTTTTTCATATACCAAATAGCACCGTTAGTAGGTTATGTACACTATAGTGGCACGAAAGGAACCAAAGATAAACTTGATGGCAGATAAGGAACTGCAAAATTTTCAATGGCAGATAAGGAATCACATATTTTTCCAATGGCAAATAGGGAATTGACTTTACTCACCATAAAAAAGTAGGCAATACAAAAACATATAATTACCTTAGTAATCTTGCACGAGGAATGTATAAGTAATATAGGATATGAAATTTACTATGTCTTAGTCTCCAAGCCGGTAAAAAATACCCCCTTATAGTGGTAAGAGTCTAAATACTCGACACAACCAACCCTATGTCTAGGTACCGGATATGTCCTCCACGATGATATATGGGAAGGGGGTCAGTATTGTCGTTAATTGCCTCTGATGAGTAACCTTCCGAGTATACATAGAAGAGAAACAACTCTATCAATGTTTTGTACTATAGGTGAGTGATTTTGGTGTCACGCACAGAGATTTTGATTGGCAGCACATAAGACATAAGATGTTATACTGCTTCGGGTGGGTATCTTACATCTAATTGTCGATGAAATCTAGTCGGCAATCTACCGAGGGGTATAACCACGATAGTAGATGATCGGTGGAGGTGCGCGTAATAGGAACCGGATGGTGACACAAGGCGCAGAGACAACGATTAAGACAGGTTCGGGCCGTCTGATTGACGTAATACCCTACGTCCTGTATCTTTGTTGGATTGTATTGAATATGAGATTCGATATATCCCATCTAGGGGACCCCTGCCTCTCCTTATATACTCTGGAGGGTAGGGTTATAAGAAAAATATCATATTTGGTATTATACAATAAATCACATTTTCATGTAGTCTTGCGGTGCACGTCTTGATCTTGTGGGCTGGGCCATCCTAGTGCTGCGGTCCATGTCCATTACCGTGGATATCTGGGGTTATACCCCCACACTAGTGAAAAACATGTCTTTGTATTGCTTGTGTACTAAATGCTATGTTCGATGTCAAGTAGGGGGAATGAAAGCTTGTACGCGTGAGAGTGAGACCGGGGAAAGTAGCCAGAGGAGTAGGGTTACACACAGATGACTCTCGATTGCCAAAGGTATTGTTGAGTAACTATATACAGTTACATCCGATTCACTGGAGCACTATTGGGATGACTGCTCGTAGCGAACCCCCTCAGTCAGAATTGGGAGGATGGCAGGTCCATAATGCAGGTCATTCTGTTTTTTATGTGAAGATAAGATGACAGGGTAATCTGCCGGTCTATGTACTACAAAAGAAGTAAACATGTACATACAAAAGTAAATACCAAATACTCTATACCACCATCACCATCGAGAACCAACACGCAGCGTTAGTAGTGACGCGAATGGCCATGACAATCAAAGCTGCCCACCCACGAAACCAAAATCCACCCAACCTGTTCCGGTTAAGCAGAGCAGTGTTGTATCAGTGCTGGGCATGGTGGCCCTGTACCAATTTCGTTGTATGGCGGCAACATAGCCTGTCTATGTCGTAGGACGTCTTGGTGAAATGTGAATAACTGTTCATGTACTTAATTTCTATGATGTCACGTGCATCGACTATCCACAACGCATATATATAAGACCACCCGGCTTCAGGAGCTCCCTACACTGCCTTATACACAGCACCAGGGGTTGGATTACACTTGGGTAATGCTGACTCGAGTTAGGCTGCCGTGACGACGGGCTTCTTTGACGTGCACACTCTCGTGGCAATGCCAACAAAGATGGATGAATCAGAGCGCCGGCGTGACGGCGCGGATGAACAAGTGAGGTGCAGCCCATGCCATGCCCAGCAGCGTCGGTCAGTCACTCAAGTTGTTTTCTTTCTTTCTTTCTGATGAAATGAAAGAGAGAGACGGAAGAACGAGTCGCCGTTGGAGTGCGATGCAAAGCAGCGGGTCCGTCCGATCCGACAGGTAGACGACGGACCCTGCTCTGCTCCTTTGCTGCCAAAAGTGGAGTGCATGCGCGTGCGTGCTCTGCTCTGCCCTGCTGCAACTGCAACCGTCGTCGACCCACCGGACGGAGTGAATGCGTGCGCAGTGCGCTGCGTCGTCGTCCCGGCACCTGCGTTGGCATGGCTTCAGAATCAGAACAGAGACAGTACTCCTCCTAGGCCTCGTTTAGGTGCACCGATTCGGCGCCCACAAAAACACGTAGCTACAGTGCGCGTTTTATTTTTATTTGGTAATAATTGTCAATCGTTGACTAATTAGGCTTCAAAACGTTCGTCTCGTAAAGTACAACCAAATTGTGTAATTAGTTTTTGATTTCGTTAACATTTCGTACTCCATATATGTACCGTAAGTTTAATGTGATGGAGAATCTTCTTTTTGCATAGTGCCAAAATTGGAATTTAGGGTAACTAAACACCCCAAGAGGAGATTCAGAGAAAGCGACGCACCACGGCTGCAGAACAGCAGACGCGCTTTTACCAGCGACAGCGAGCGCTCGGTGGCGGTCGATCGGGGCAGGACGTCGACGTCGGACTCGGTCCGCGGCTCGCGACCCTGACTTGTCTCTCCTCCCCGGCCCTCTGCGGCTCTGCGTCTGCGTGCGTGCGGTGCTCCGTGGACTGCATCTGCATAGCGGCTACCGGCTACCGGCTACCGGCCTGCATGCTATATATACACACAGGCAACAACATCCTTGCCTCCATCCATCTCCGTCCTTCCCTTCCAAAGTTCCAACCCCCCAAAGCTGAAAGCTCCGACCGAGCTGCTATGACTCTGCGGTCGCCGCCGGGGGCACTGGACCACCCAAAGCTCCTGCAAGCGACGAGCCCTGCTACTAGCAGCAGTAGCAGGGACCATCGTCTCATCAGCAGTCTCAGCGTCGTCGACGACATGCTCCCGCGGTCGCCCAAGCTGCTCAGGACCAACTCCTCCAAGAAGGTGCCGGCGGCCAGCAACCTGGAGCGGGCGCTGCTCAGCTTCAGGTCCTGGGAGGCCAGCGCCGGCACCATCGACGACGCCAACAAGCCCGCCGCCGGGGTCGCGGCCGCCGTTCCGGTTCCGCCGGCGTCGCCCGTGCAGCGCCGCATCCACGGCGCCAGGCCGGGACGCCTGGCCCTCCACAGCCCGACCAGCAGCGGCGGCAGGCCGGCCATGGCTGATGCCGACACCACCGTCGACGTCCTGCGGTCCCCGCTCCACGAGGCGGCCGCCACCCGGGTGCAGAAGATGTTCAAGGGCCACCGCACGCGCCGCACCCTGGCCGATTGCGCCATCGTCATCGAGGAGCTGCTGTGGAAGCTCTACGACTCCGCCTCGCTCGACCGCACCTCCATCTCCTTCTTCACCGCCACCGCCGGCGGGGGTAAGCAGGAGACGGCGGCGTCGCGATGGGTCAGGGCCGGCAAGCGCATCGCCAAGGTCGGAAAGGGCCTCTCCAAGGACGACAAGGCGCAGAAGCTCGCGCTCCGCCATTGGCTCGAAGCGGTATGTCCGTCCTTCTTCCGTCCCTCGTCGTACACTAATTACTCCTGTCATCAATAATGTTTATATATATAAATATATAATGCATGAATTAATAATAATTATAAAACAAATAATAATTGCAGATCGACCCGCGGCATCGGTACGGGCACAACCTGCACCTCTACTACGACATCTGGTTCCAGAGCTCCAGCACGGAGCCATTCTTTTACTGGCTGGACATCGGAGGCGGCAGGGAGATCCATCACCCCAGCTGCGCCAGGAGCAAGCTCAACTCGCAGCTCGTCATGTACCTGGGAATGGTGCGTCGTCGTTGCTGCCTGAATGTTTCCTTTCCTTTCTTTGGTTTCGCCAGCCGGCCGGCCGCTGACTCACTGAAACGAATGGCATCCATTCAGAACGAGCGGGCGGCGTACCAAGTGGTGGTTGACGACGGGAGGCTGACGTACCTGCAGACCGGGCTGCCCGTCAACACCACCGACGACTCCAAGTGGATCTTCGTGCTCAGCACCACCAGGTCGCTCTACGTCGGGCAGAAGCGCAAGGGCCAGTTCCAGCACTCGAGCTTCCTCGCCGGCGGCGCCACGTCCGCCGCGGGCAGGCTCGTCGCCAAGGACGGCGTCCTCAAGGCCATCTGGCCCTACAGCGGCCACTACCTCCCCACCGAGGAGAACTTCAACGCATTCATCGCCTTCCTGCAGGACAACAAGGTGGATCTCACCGACGTCAAGAGGTGCTCGGTGGACGACGACGAGTACCCGTCGCTGAAGCGGAAGCAGCAGAGCATGGCCGCCGACGAGGAGAAGGAGGCCAAGCTGGAGGCGGAGCCGGCAGCAGCAGGCGCCGTGGATGGCAACGAGACCGGCAGCCGCGCGGTGGTGGCGAAATGGACGAGCGGCGCCGGCGCGCGCATCGGCTGCGTCCGGGACTACCCGACGGAGCTGCAGAGCTGGGCGATGGAGCAGGTGAACCTGTCGCCCAACAGGCCGGCGGCGCCGCCGTTCCCGTGCCCGCCGCAGTCGCCGTGGGCGGGCAAGGCGCCCATCCCATCGCCGCGTCCCAGTCCGCGCATCAGGCTGTCGCCGCGGGTGCAGTACACGGGCGTGCCCGCGGCGAGCCCCGCCGGCGTGCGGCCGCCGCCGCTCAAGCAGCAGTGCCTTGGTCTCGGCATCCTCCCGCCCACGGTGCACCTCACGCTGCCCAGCAACAAGAACGGCAGCAAGGCCACCACATCGTCACCAGCCAATCACTGACATCACATCATTTCAGATGCAAACAGCAGTTTTGTTCTTGTCCTCGAAAGTAGCGCTCGCAGTAGATAGCTAGCAAGAGTTTTAACTCTTAATTATTAATTTCACTGATTCCTCCATTTCTTTGTAATGTTGGTTTGTTTGTTCATAACCTGACCTCAAATCACTGCACAGCACAGACTGGATTTTTGTTTGTCTGAACTGAACAAGAAAGAAACCTTAAATCAACGAGGAATGTGAACTTGGTGCACAGACTGAATGAATTCCATTGATCGTCTGAACTCTGAAAGAAGAAACTTCACATCAAATCACCTCGTCACCAGCCAATCACTGACAGATGCCGATGAGATTGAGACGGGCATCACATCACATCATTCAGATGCAGAAGCAGTTTTGTTCTTGGGCTCGGAAGTGGTGCTCTCAGTAGATATGGTTACATACAGTAGCTGAGTAGCAAGAGTTTTTATAGCTTTTTAATTACGCTGATTCCTCCATCTCTTTGTAATGCTCGTTTGTTTGTTCAAAATTAACCGACCTCAAATCACTGCACATGCACAGCACAGAGCCACAGACTGGATTTTTGTTGATCGTCTGAACTGAACTGAACTGAAAGAAAGAAGCCTCAAATCACTGACGAACGTGAACTTCGTGCGCAGACTGAATGAATTTCATTGATCGTCTGAACTGAAAGAAAGACAGGCAGGCAGACAGAAAGAAAGAGTCATATTTTTGTTGTTCGCTGGTCAGCCAAGACTGGCAAGGACAGCACTGCTACGCCTCTTTGAACTGAACCAAAGAATGAATGAAACCAGCAAGGCAGGTAGCCTCGAATGGAATGAGACTGTTCATCTTCTTCTTCTCTCCGAGTGAAGGCACTCGCTGTCACGTTAGACCCGTCTGAAATTGGGAACAACGCCAGGCGACTTGACAAAAGCTGAGCTTTTCCTTTGACCGACACCATGTGTACTCTAACGTCCCTTTAAAAAGCAGGAATTTCATACAAGAATTTCACAGAAATCACAAATCGGTTCATTTTAGAACTGTCGAACTGGTTTTTCGACCACTGTCGAACCGGTTTTGAGTGCACACTTGGCATTCGTGTACTTATGCCCTTAGTTTTCATTTCAGCCAAAAATCTCTTTTATTATTGGTACATGATCCTTATAGTCGACAGTTTTTAATGGCAGGCAAACGTGCTCGTTGACAGACAGACATCTCGCCCGTCCTATCCAGGCTATTCTCAAGGCACGTGCCTCCGCGGTCAAGGGCTCTTAGATTTTTGGTTCCGAGCAAAACATTTGAATCAGACAGGGACTTTGCTTCACTTTCTGTGACGGCACACGTAGCCGCTGCACTGCTAGTACTTGGTCTTCTTACCCAGGGCCAGGCCAGGCCTTGCCTTGCCTCTTCACCGCTTGCACTTGGTTTGGTCTGGCTTCGGTCATTGCCAAACGCCAACGCAGCATATACACCAACAAATTGCTAGGTAACCTCGAGGAAAGTTCCTGGTTACTGCAATTGACAAAACCGTCGCCAATCCATAACCAACCATGTCAAAACGTGGATGTACGATCCCGTCAAAAACAAAAACATGCACGTCTTCATGCAGCATTCAGATGAAACTGGTTGGTCACCAGCAGCTGTTCCAACCTGCGACCACATCGCACAAAACTACGACAGGTGAACAGCAACGAGTTCAGATCTGTCACGAGCAGCATAACATCTCAGAGACGGAGTCAAAAACATATATAGCAGTTGAGGAATCTGGAGTTACATGAGAGAGCAGGCACGATAAACCTCTCCCAAATGTTCTACCAAAGCAGCACGCACATCACATCAAATGTGAACCTCACGAAATCCCTCTCAAAATAAACCATCATTCACGGGACACGGCACCCTTCCGTTACGCGCAATCAAAGAAATCACAACCTGTACAACGGAGGCTAAGCATAGCCATTGACACAGTTTCTAAGAGCCGTCGCCTGGACTGTGCTCCCAAACCTCTTATTATCCAGCCGCCCTCGGTACTTCCATCTCGGCGAGGCCTTGACACATGGGAGCATCCTATGGTGGGGCTGCGCACCGACGAAGCACCCTGTCAGGTCCCAGACAGATGAGATGCTAATAGTGATCCCTGTCATCGCCGTCGAAGTTTAGGCCTTGCATGCCCCTAATGGTAGACTCGTAGTTCTTCGGGTTAGATGAGTGGCGCCTGCCGGAAGACGAGCGCCTGCCGTCCGAGGAGTCAGGCATCTGCAGGCTCCACCGCGGGGCTCCAGACCTCTGGAATGCCCCTGGGCTTGCGTCAGTCGTGCGGCTACGTGTTTGCTCCGCTTCAGTGCTTGGCTCTCGGCTACTAGAGACAGCAGGCCGCCTTGACGATCCGCTTGAACGTCCCAAAAAAGTCGAACTGGAGAACTACATGTCATTTAAGGGTCAGATAATACATGACAACTAACATACACAAACACGCCAGAATCCCCCCGCTTCTTCCCATCACAAAGCAGCACCAAACAACGTGAAAATATCAAACAGCTCACCACAGCATCTTTGGATGTCGATGTCTCAGGCCGAACAGGGGACTTCTGCTTCACTAGGCTGCCTGCATTTATAACTGGTGGTGGAGCCTGGCGTCGCGTTGGGTCCATGTCTGACCACCCACTTCTCCTAACCTCTTCAGTGCCTATTATACATGAATGTAGCAGGCAGTCAAGCAACTAAATAATCTAACCAACTAGCACATCGGCAACACTTAAACTACATATAAACAAAACGGTCCCATAGATTCATAATAGAATAGAATTGAAAAGCAAGAAAATTCATTCCATTACCAATTAATTGCTTTAAATATACAATGTGACTGATTTCAACCTTTCATTTCATTACAGTAATCTTGTAACTGAAACCCCTTTTAGAAGGCTGGTTCACAAAAAAAATTATGAACATATCTAAGTTTCTCAAAGTATCTGATATTCAATCTGCCAGACTAATTCACTGCACGCTACTGCTACCAAAAAAACTGGCAAATTAATGAAACGTTGCATGAGATTTATCTTTTCAAAAAAGAAACAAGCAGCAAGAAATCATTCAAACTCTAACTTGTGATGGGCATACAGCACTATGCATGGATGGTATCAACTGCTAAATGAAAATTCTTGAGCGTCAGACCTGAATGTCTATTGTTGTTTGCCACAGGAGCCATCCCAGAGCTCTGTCCTATTGCTGGAGCCTAAATAAGAAGGCATGAGCATAGTCAGAAAAAAAATATATCCATGTGTGCGCCATTGAGGAAAGGTAGGAGGGTAATTTTATTCATTGTACTGACCATTGCACGTGGTGGAGCAGTGGTCATCTGTGCCTGTTGGTACTTTAGAATGGTCCAGTCAAAAACATAATCAAACTGAAAGCCTGCCCAATGGATAACATAATTCCGAGTTAGCATTTTGCTACACTGAGAATCAAAAACATGGTTTATCATTAAATGAAATATTGGGCATATTAAACCAACCTTCCCGAATAAAAAGGTCTCTGAACAATCTCTTCAGGTATTGATAGTCCGGTGCATCTTCAAAACGTAGTGAGCGACAGTAATGGAAGTAAGAAGCAAACTCAGTAGGATATCCACGACAGAGGGCCTACAATTGGGGAAACACAATAAGAACATATACACTAAAGAAGGAAACACAGTTAGTAGAGAACAATGTGTGACCTCAGTTGAAGTAGCAATTTTCCTTTCGCTGATCTTTTCATACTTTTGTTTCTTGTTCCCAGCTTTCAGGCCCTGCCATGGAAGGCTGACAGTAGGCAAACAATGTGTTAACCCAGACATCAAGAGATGAAACAGCGAATCAGGTTACAGTAAACAACCTTCCTCTCAAGAAGTACATCAGTACATATCCAAGAGATTCCATGTCATCCCTCCGGCTTTGTTCTGCGGGAAGACATCAATTATGATATCAAAATGAAATGTCACGGAAAGGTAAGAGAATTTTTTCAGGAATCCAGAAACTGCATGCCTGGAAACTAGCTACCACCCAATTGAATGAAACCTACCAATTCCAAGGTGGGTATTTACACTTGCATATCTTGCTGTTCCAGTCAAGTTCTTGTTCTCTCTGCAATTAAATGGACAAGACTGAAGGTTCAGATATTTTAAATTGAGGTGCTGTCTGAAATCACGCTAAGAGAAAGATTTTCCAGATATTTGAATTTCTAGTGGTACGTGGAACAATATCAAACATGAGCATAAAATAACTACGGACCTACTGTGGCAGCATAAGAAACTACAGCAGTAAAATATATTGTTGGTGATACTATGGAGCAACTACAATTATTTTACGGTAAAAGTGAAAATAAATAAGAAGTTGAACAGCAATTTCATGCAAATTTCTCACAGCATGCTTACCTGTATGGAATGTGCTGGTGTGTTGATGTATCTCTGTACTTCTTTGCAAGTCCAAAATCGATAACGTAAACCTATAAAGAGATTAAAAGCAATTATTAATGCGTGCACCTACTATTAAACCCATAAGTAAATGTAGATTGAGGGAATATAACTAATCACCTGGTTTGCCCTTTTCCCAAGACCCATGAGAAAATTGTCCGGCTTAATATCTCTATGCAAGAATGACTTCGAATGAACAAACTCAACTCGATTGATCTAGGAAAATTGAGGACATTAATATCATATACAATTAAATGAAAGCAGATGGGTTGAGCAGAAATATGCTTCATGGAAACTTGAACCTAAAAAGAGAAAGTAAGCAAACAGAGTAGTGAACTAGTCATGCTTCAATGATGCAGCATACCATTTGATCAGCAAGCATCAAAACAGTTTTGAGGGACAGCTTCCTGTTACAAAAGCTAAAAAGATCTTCAAGGCTTGGTCCCAGTAAGTCCATAACCAAAACATTGTAATCACCCTCAACGCCAAACCACTTAACATTTGGAATTCCAGCTGCAGATGAAGAGAAAAATGAGAGTCAACACAAATTTAAAAACAAACAGAGGGAATGAAGAGATAAGGAAGATAAAATAAGTGTGTGCATTACTTCCTCCTTGAAGTATTCTGTATAATTTCGACTCGTAAAGCAATTGAGGATGCTTCGTCTTAACATTTTCCTGGATAAAACATTAGGAACAACAAGGTTGTTATCCATCCACGTAGGAATCCGGTAGATGGAAACAATACAGAATACCCAAAAACAATAACACAAATTTCAATGCATTTGTACCAGGTAAGTTCATAGTTGCAGTGCGGTTAAAAGCTGTACTTAGAAGTCAAACAATGAATTATATCTTGAATGGCGTAAATACATTCCATGTCTTCACAACAGGAATTTAAATGGGGCAGCTAAATAAAAGCTTCCCATGCAGCGTACTATAGAACACATTACCAAGCTGTTATTTAGTTATTATATTGACATATTGCAAACCTTGTGCTTTAGAAA